CCTCAAATCCCCCCCCCAAAATTCTGGGAAACCCATCTTGACTGAATTTCACCCACCCACCCATTCCTTCCCCCGCCACCAAATTATCTGCAGGGTGTTGAGCTGATGTTCCTGCTGCTCAAGGCTAAGAAGGCCTCGCGATACGGCGCCATCAAGGCCTTGGACTTCGCCTGCACCCTGTGGGTGCCCCCCTGCTGCCCTCCTCCTGCCTTCCTCCCCTGCAGCCCCGCCCCACCGCGCCGGCCCCGCCGCACCGCGCCTGCCGGCCTGCAAACTGTGCCCGCGCTAGCCCTGGGCCGCCTCGCCCGGTTCCTCCGGCATGCCCACCCCCCAGCCATATCAGTGAGCGAATTCTTACACCCAGCCAAGAGCCCGGCATGCAGTCGCGCAAGCACACCACACCGAGGCACGACCTCTGGGCGCCCTCACTGCCTGCCCTGCCCTCCACCTCCTGCGCGTTCCCGGCAGCTGCCCGCCGGCCTGTGACAGGCTGGTGGAGGTGGGCGGCCTGGCCCCGCTTTTTGCCCTGTTCATGGGGAGGACCAAGGTGAGGCGCTTTCTTGATAGTTTGTCAGCGTAATGCAGAATCGGTTTCCCAATGCCAAGCAGGATGGCTGGGTGATATTGCAGGGGCGATGCAGCCGTCGCTCTTTCATAGCCCCCTTCAGGGTCTTCGGCGCCGCCGTGGCCACCGCCGCCAACACCGACGCTGGACTGTTCCCCCGGCCTGGGTTGTTGCCGCGTGGCTGCCTTCAGCGCCGCGGTCGACGACGTGCCCGCTCGAGCGGCTGCAGCGCCACCGCTGGCGACTGCCTTTGTGATCGAACAATGCTGCGCTGCCGCTCGTTGCCATGGCGGTTCCTTGACGCCCCCAGCAGGCGCCGACCGGCTGCACCGCTGACGTCACCGCGTCGCCTCGCCCGCAGGTCAAGGGCCCGAAGGGCGATAAGGCGGGCAAGGACGTGGCGCGGGAGATGGAGGAGCGATCCGTCAGCCTCATCAGCAGCCTGCTGCAGGTTTGGGGCGGGATTGGGGGCCCGCCATTCGCGGCTGCGGCAAAGCTGTCGAGCCGCCTGCGGGTCGCGGCTCCCGTTGTGACTTCTGGTTTGCTGCATGCGACTACGGCGGGAGGGGTCCACAGGCGCCAGCGATCGGTCCTCGACCATACGACAAATCAGTGGAATACAGCCGGGCATGGGTCGGCGGCCGCCCTGCTTTAGGCCCTTTGGGATTCCAAGGCCAAGCCCTGGTGACCCGACCCCTTCCAACGCGTTCAAGCCTGCGGCGTCCAGAAAGCGCGCCCTCCTGACAAATCATATCCTCTGCAGCACGTGACCAAGGCGGGCCTGCGGGACCGCGTGGCGGCCAAGTTTGTGGAGTCTGAGTTTGAGAAGGCCGACATGCTGGTCGAGGTCATGTTCAGGTGAAAGGCCCAGTCCGCCAGGCTGAAGCCAGCCACCAAACACATCACATTGCAGCACGTTATCCCAGCAGCAAGGGGAAAACCCTGGCTCCACGTGGGGTTGGGGGTAGCGCCCCCAACCAAGAGCAGTGGCCGGGTCCGACGCCTTGCTTTGGGCGCAAGGGTCGGGGGCTCGATCCACCAGGCTGAATCCAGCCGCTTGCAGGGGTTGCCAGCCGGCGCCTTGCGGCCGCACTTGTGATCCGCCGACCGCGCGGCCCACCCACCCAACCCACGTGCGGCCCAGCGAGCGCATGTGCATGCACCTGCAAGCCTCTACGCTCTCTGCCTCCCGTCCTCACGGCGGCCCTGAACCTCTCGACGGCCGGCTCCCCTCCCTTGGCCAACAGCCTCCACCCGCCGCCACCGCCGCCGCCGCAGCCCCTTTGACACCCTCTCTCACACACACCTGCACACACACACCTGCACACACACACCTGCACACACACACGCACGCACACACACACGCACACACACCGTCCCGCCTCGCCCCCCTGGCAGGTACGAGGAGCGCGTGGCTGCGGTGGAGGCGCGCCTGGCGCCCCAGTTTGAGGCCGGGGAGCTGGACGAGGGGGACGTGGTGTCAGAGCAGCTGGAGGCGGGGCTGTTCACGCTGCAGGTGGGTGTGGGTGTAGGGGCGGCGCGCGTGGCGCTGCATGATCACAGAGGTGTGTACACTTCTGGATGGACACACTTTTTGCCGCCGCTGCGTCTGCGTATGTATGCTCGTGCACACACACACGCACACACACGCACACGCACACGCGCGTGCGCGTGCACAGACATGCCCAGTGCTCACCCGGACACACTACAACACACGGGTGCCTGTGCACGCATGCTTGCAAAGCACACCAATGCACCAGCACGCCTCACCCCCTCCCACCACCCTACGCCCCTCCACCGCGCGCGCACACACACACACACACATTCACAGGGCTGTGTGGTAATCTCCGCGGGCCTGTGGGCGTCCGGCGACCCCGGGCTGCGCAAGCGGCTGCTGGCGCTGCTGCACCAGAGGGGGCGCTCCCTTGACATGATACGGTGTGGGGGTCGGGGTCTCGGATGCGGGACGCCGAGTTTGTTTTCTTCTGTAGCTTCTGTCATAACGTAAGCTGCGGGGTGCACATGTGTGTGTCTGTGAGTTTGTAACGTGTGTAATTGTGTATGTGTTTGTTTACACGAGCGCGCTTGTTCGTGCGCCCCATGCGTGGACGACGCGTGTGTGTTGCCGTTCCTGCAGGGGCATTAGTCAAGCCCAGCAAAACAATCAGCTGGTGGCCGCTTCTGCGACAAGCGGCGACCCTCTATTTCACATGCCAATCTGGCCACCTCAACCGCCAACATGACCGCTGATTCGACGCTGTAACCGCCTCAACCGCCAACCAGGGAGTACCTCTACGATTACTACGTGGGCCTGGAGGGCGGCGGCGGGGGCGCTGACAAGGACGGCGGCGCCAAGGGCCCCGACGCGGCGGCCGCCGTCGCCGACGGCTCGGCGCGGCAGCGGCGGCGGCTGGCGGCGTTCTTGGCGGCGGTGGGAATCGACGCGGAGGAGGCGGAGGCGGAGCGGCGGCGGCGGCGGGGCGAGGTGGGTG